TGATTCGCCCCAGGTAATATACTAAATATTCTGAGAGAACGAGAGCCCAACGACGAGGACAACTCGCCTGGTTTCCTGTCCCAGCACACGGTGCTCCCAGCGGGATGGAGCTACCTGCTGCCCTTCCACACGCGGGCGCACAGCGTCAACTTCCTGATGGCGCCGCCCTACCATCCGCTGGTCCAGAGGGCTCAGCTCCAGCAGCAGACCTCCGTTCAGGCTCAACCAGCCTCGCTGCCCTACGCCATGGATCTGGACCTGCACAGTGTGATGGCCACCGAGCTGCTGGAGGAGGCGGCCAAGGATTCGGGGCTGAGCGACAGCAGTGGCAGCAACTACTGCGAGGGACGCAGTCACTCCGGAAGCCATCAGCTGGAGGCCAAGAACGAGCAGGTGCTGAGGAGGGTTCAGGAGCTGCAGCACTTGGTTCAGACCTCCGAGCAATATTTGAGTGAGCAGGAGCAGGGAGGAGGAGTAGGTGGAGGAGGAGGCGTGGCCATGCTGGAATTCGACTCGGATTGTGATAGTCTCAACAGCAGCAAGGTATCCTCCACGGAGGAGTCGCAGGGTGGTGGGATTTTGGGACCAGGAATGACCCTACCCCCAGGACATCCTCTCAAGCACAGTGATTCCCTAACGCTCCTGGCGGAGACCATTAACCACGAGCTGAGTGGCATAACCCAGGGATTGAACGCCATTCCAGAAACGGCACCCGTTTCTACATCTGCTCCAGCGACTCCAGCTACCCCAAGCGGAAACCCAGTCTGTGCAGCACCTCCAGTCCGCGTCCGCAGAGGAAACTGAATGGTTTCAGTCAACTCTCAGTGATCTACAGGCCCTGGGCACTGATTTTTCCCAGAGTGAGAGTGATTCGGAGTCGGTGGCCTCGCCTGCCCAATCGCCCACAGCCAGGAGGCCGCAGATGATGCTGCTCCAGGCAGCGGGATCAGGAGCAGCACTAGGAGCACCAGTCAAGCAGCAGCTCGCCCAGAGGAGCAGCTTCGGCCTGCACAGTCCCGATGGCACGCACTTTGGTGCGGAGACCAAGGACTACAACCTGCGGGAGTACCTGCAGCACTGAAAGAGATCAGCAATGCGGCAACGGCTGACACGGATGTGGCTGCCCGCCAGCTGTCCGAGATTTATGGTTTCGAGGTGAGGGAGGACACCTTCATCGAGACCGACACGGACCTTATAGATCTACGTGCCATTCCGCCACCCCAGACGCCCGATGAGCTGGACTCGCTGTCCCTGATGAATGCCGCTCCCCCCAAGGGTTTCGAGGGCAAGGCCGAGGAGCTGGACAGTTTCCTGCAGCAGATAATGGTGGCACCGCCCACCCAAAAGGCCACGCCCGCCAAGGAACTCACACCCGAGGAGATAATGTCGTTTATAATACCACCACCACCGAATCTGGAGCAACAGCAGGTCACGGTGGTGCAACAACCGGCGGAAACGGAGTGCCTCTACAGCAACTCGGTGCAGGCCAAGAGGGAGTTCTTCCAGTCGGTGGCCAATGGCAACAGCGGTGCCCACTCACCGCATGTCATTGAATATGCCACGTGGAGCGGAAGAGCAAGTTCAGCTGCTGCCCACTAGCAAGAGGGAGGAGCAACCTGAGGAGGAGGAAGTACAACCACCTCCAGGACGCCCACTTCCGAGCAACTTTCCCCCGCCGCCGGCAAGACCACCGAAAAGTGCCGAGTTACTGCAGCGTTATTCGCCCAAAAAGCAGGTGAGGATTGCGGCCAGCCCAGTGATGATGCAGCCGCAGGAGAGGAGGGAGCAGCTCTGTCCACCACAACTGCCGCCGAGGGGAAGTCCCACGCTGGACGGAGTGGCCTGGAAATTCCACAAACCTGGTGAGTGGTGGTCCCAAGAAACCCCCGCTGCCGCCCATCGCCAGTCGCCCGCGTCCTTCGAACGGGGTGAATCCCACTCCAAACACCTCATCACCTGGATCTGCACAACCACCTGCCCACAACTATTCACCTCCCATACCGGCCACCGTCCGTCTGCCCCATCTGAACCAATCGAACGGAACGGGAACACTTCCCCTGCTCCCAAGAAACCGCAGCAGCTGCATGGCGAGAAGTTGTTCCTCAAAAATGGTCACCTGATTGATGGCGAGGCGCTGCTGGCCAAAACGGATGTGGCCATGGCTGGTCTCCTAATCAAATTGGACCAGGTGGCCGCCCAGTGTTCGTGGCCCAGGCGGCGGGGGAGGCACCTCCATCGACGAGGAGAAGTTCCAGCGTGCCCGCAACGAGCTGACCGAACAGACCTTGGCCTTGGTCACAGCCAGCAATTCCTGGTGGCCTCCATGTCGGACATGACATTGATAACTCTGCCGGAGCACCTCACCTCCTGCCTGACGCCATTCGGAGGATCACCGAGCTGGCCCAGGACATGACCAGGCACACTTCGGCGCCGCTGCAGACCCGGAATATAGTGCTCAAAGTTCATGATGTGGCGAGCAGTTTTAGGGAGCTGGTGGGCGTTGAGATTGGACCCATTGGCGCTGGACAACTGGCTCTGCAGGCCGAGTGCCTGGCCAATGTCCTGGCCACCCTGCTGAGATCCCTGCGCGTCTTCTCCCCATAACCCAGAGAGATCGCAGGAGGCGCAAATGGAGAAGCTATCGAAGCAATCGAAGCACCCGCAGACAGAACCGAAAGTGAAACCACAACGCATGCTCGTCTGTCCATGTGTAAATCCCCCTGCACCACCTACGTCTAGATGGATATACATCAACCCCCAAAACATACATATATATATGCAAAAATACATCTTTCGAAACTAATTTACAGGTAAGGGGCCGCGTCAGAGAATCAATGGTCTGATGGCTCTTTAGGCTTAGCCACGCTTAATCCTCACATGCGACTAATATCGAAACCGGAAAGTGGAAGCTCAAACGAGGTGTTCTGGAACGGTGTGGTGGGGTTTGTTCAAGAATCTTAGAGATATAGTTTATAGGACAAAATACATATCGCAGTGAAAATAAACCTTAATCGCAGCGATAGTTTTAGGGGACCTCTATGCTACATATCTTAAAATTCATGTTTTTGACCTATTTAAACCTTCTTCCGTAAAGTATAACATATCAATTTGTATCCTTAAATTAATATTTTAAGGTTCTTTTGATTATGATCCATTCCTTTACTTTTAAAAAATAGAAAGGTTTCCAATTTTTTTAGCTCCATTAAATAAGTAATACCAGATTATCGCTCGGTTTAGCTCAATATTATCTTAGTACCATATCGAAAAACATATACATCTATCCCTTGAACAAATACCACCACATCGCTACGAACTCTATAAAAAAATATTTCTTAAATATAAAAACGATTAAATATTCTAAAGTAAAAAAAAGAAACTCTCTCAACTTAACGCATGCAACTAACTCGAATTTCTATGTAATCTCCTAAAAATCAACTATTTTTAACTATATTTATACATATATCACACTCGAATCCTTAGAACTGCTCTGTATACCAATCCCCAAAACCAGAACCCGAATCCGAACCAATCCCTCACCCGAAAAAACATGAAACCAATTTAATGAAACACCATGACTTGATTATCTAGACCAATTTATATGAGAATCTAACGGAATATGTTTATTAAATTATGCTATTAGTATATTTTCTTATGTACATAATTTACACACATACCTAAAACCATAAATATACAAGTACTATATATAAATATTATAATAAAATTGACCAAACAATAATCAAAATTTTAACTTGTGATATAAAAAAAAATGGAAAAGTAAAAGCAAAAAAAATAAATATTGATGATAAAACTTTTACATTTTCTTTGTTTAACAACAAATGTTTTAACAGGATTATTTAATACGTTCGTTGTTGTTAGAAAACGATCAACTTTTTTGTTATTGTTTATGTGTCATACCTTTTGTTGTAGTTGTTGGCGAAGTACAAGAATGCGCACTAAGTTGTAGCTTTAACTAATTATACATATTATTGAATACAATATGATTAAACATTAATCAAAGAGGGCAGAAGCAAAAGAATAATCCGTTTAAAATATAACTAATCTATAATTGTTTTCATTTTGTTTGGAGATTTCTGTTGAAGCAAGCACACACGTATGCATAATAAAAATAACCATATGATATATACATACAAGAATTATACAAATATGAACTAAAATAATAATACATATTAAGTAAAAACATAATCAAATGTACAATGTAAAACAATGTAACTGTTTATGATTTGAGGAAAACAAATTCGAAATGCATATGAAATTGTATGGGATAAATTCAATAAATAAACCAAAGTAAAATAAAGATATTCACGATCTATTAATATGGAATGCTTCCTTATAGAGAGCCTGTGATGGGGAGAACTTTCTTGCGGATTCCCTGATAATGGCCTCGAGCTCAAAAAGGACACTATTAACGTGATCCTTCAAACCACACAGCTACTTGGTTTATATGTTTCTTTTCAAGAAACCCATATCTACGAATAATTTAATAATTAAATATTAGATATATCCAAAAAAAAAAAAAATTTTTTTTAATGGTTAAAACCGCCATTATTTTTAATCCATTGAAATGAGTTATATTTTTTCCGATCTGGTATCACCAATTTCTTTCTACCTCTTGATAGCTTCCTGCTACGGAACTCAGTTAGCGAGGACAAGTCACAAATTATATTTTTGCTTAGCAAAGTTCCAACCCTTTTATGACAGTTTTCGAACAGAAATGTTAGAGAAGAAATTCCATGTGACCGCATTCTATAAAAATACCGCGAACTCAAAGAAAAGTCCGCTTGCAATGGAAATACACTCGATATTCGATAGAACATCGATATTAGCCAAAATGAATAGTCTATGTTTCGAGAATCTTCTGGTGTTACCGCAACCAAGAAAAATACCCCGAAAGTGTGACCGCGCCCGCATCGAATAAAAATACCGCAACCAATCCCAAAATCCCAAGCGCGAGAAGAGAAAAAATTTACAGCCCATTGCTGAGGAAAAGGCATTTTATTTTCCAAACTCGGGCGGGACGGTTCAAACAGCGCGCCTCTTCGTGAGCGATTTCAAAGAGTTTCACATACCCAAATCGATCTGCTTTCCTGGCTGTCGGACGAGTTTTCGAAAAACTCGGGAAGGGATTTGAGTTTGTGCTGAATAGTGTGGAATCGCAACGGATCGGAAAAGTGCCCCGCCAAATGCTCTAGTAACCGCCTTAGAGAGCAAGAATTAAAATCTTAACGACCCCGGAATCAAAATCGAATTCGAAGCGCAGCGAAAGAAAGAAATTTTCGTCTTCCTGAGGCCCGAAAACCAAAAAAAAACCATCCACACAAAACAAAAGGCGAATGAAAAGTGCGCAAAAAGATATATGTAATACGACGATTGCCAGGAAGACACGGAAGCAATAAAAAGTACGGCGAAAACGCAATCGTTACATATTATATATTCGCTCGGTTGGAAAGTTCTTCTTTTGTGCAGAAAATCGACGACCACACATCAAAATAAATTACTAGGAAAAAAAATAACCACAGAAAAATAACAACAACAGCAACAGCATCCTCAAGAATCTCGCTCGCTCTTTTCCTCTCTCTCTCTCTCTATCACCCACTCTCTTCTCTTTCTCTTGACGAAGGCGGAGAAAGAAGCAAAGCGAAACAACAAAATAAAATAATCTCTTTTCGCCGCCAAACAATAAGGAAAATCATTAATTTTCAGCGAGCGGGTTTCTGCGGCATTTATGCCCACTAATTGACTCACAAAATGGATTACAAATTCATTGTTTTCAACGCGGCGAGGGACAACAATTTGGCGCAATTGAAGGTGAGTTTCGAGTTTCCAGCTTCCAGTTTCGGGAATTGGGATTTGGGAATTGGGTTTCCACCTGCACTTGGCCGTCCAATTGGAAAGTTGCTAGATTCTTATTGTGATTGTTGTTAGAAATCTCCATCTCAGCTGCTCAATAAACTGGGCAGCTTATTTAGCCTTGTGACTAATCAATAAAATTCTCTCGCTCACCACACACACACACTCTCCCGCCACGCACACACGCGCAGGCAAGCTAAGCCGTACACGCGCATGTGTTCCAGCGCTGTTGCTGGGCCCCATGTTCAAATCTGGCCAGAAAAAAGCCAAATTATGAAAAAATTATGTTTGTAGGATTGTTTTTGAACATTTTTCCCACCTCTTTGAGTTGAATATAACTTGTAAAAGTGTCGATTTACTTATCTATTCATCAAAACTTTAGTAGTCTTTAGGAATGAGCCATTTATTATATCATTGTAGGTGGTTTCATTTGAAACATTTGTCTCCTCCGCACTTTAAACTAAAAGTACATGTTAAGCTCTACATTTCTATAAGTTTTCTAAGCTTTAAAGCTAGTTTTAGTTTAAACTGTGGGCGAGAAGATGTACTTCAGATGCTTAAAACAAAATACATAAAACCAACTTTCAATACATTGAAAATTTAAAATCTATTAAGAAGCATCTATTAGAGTAGAGTAGAGTTGAACCTAGGAAAACAATTTTTTTATATATGGAAAGGAAAATATGTTTTGAGTTAACCTAGAAAAAGGATTTTTTTTTATATATTTGGAAAGAAAAAAATGTTTTCGTATTTAGGGGTCATTTCAAGAAATTTGGAACTTAGAAAATGGCGTTCAGTAATTTCGAATTCATTGCTTGATATCAAGACGATTGACAAATGCATTAGAAATATGCCCAATTAAATATTTTCACAATTCACCTACAAAACCCAGAGTTTTTGTTACCTCAATTTAGTTAGCGGTGATATGGTTAGTTCTTCTACTTCATAGCTAATAACTAGCCAAGTGCTTACATTCGGCGCAAGACAATAACAAATACATATGTTTGGCTGGACGTGTTTGTGGGCGTATCGGATCGGAAACTTTTGCTTGCGACTGCAAGACCCGCGGCACTCTTTGCATAACCAAAGTTCTTGGGCCCGGGCCTAAGCTCCGCCTGGCATGGCATGGCATCCACATCCACATCCACATCCACATCCATGTATATCTGTCTAAAGAGGCAGCTTGACATTGGCACACACCGTGGAATGGAGGCAGAAAATTAAATGGAAACACAAACAGAGGCAGCAGCAGCAGAAACTGGCTGCAATTGGCGCTGTTGCATTGAAGCCTCGCTTGGCATTTGGCCCCCACTTTTGCATTGTTTCAAACTACAGCTCTCGTGGGTGTTTATTATTTAGTACGACTGTGCGGGTCCCAGTGGTGTGTGTTTGATTCTAAGTTTAGCACAGCCATGTTTCGCATGTACTTGGGCCAGGCATTTCACAAAATTATACACACATGACATGGAAATGGGCTCAGCCGAGGGAAATGTAAATCCGCTCGAATAGTTCTGTTTTGAAAAACCTTTCCTGCTCGAAGCAGTAATTTTATGTCAAAGCAATTAAAAAACTTCTTGTTGACAAGGCAATTTGATTAGTCGAAGGTCGCATAAATCAAGTGGAATTATATGCATTATGTAATGGGATCAGACCATGATACTAGCATTAAAAATGAAGCAAAACTTCAAATTATTGGTTATATTATTGTTTCTTAACTTTTGTAAAGAATATTTTTAGACAACAGCTTAAGGAAAATGTCTTATCAAACAAATATTAAATATTATTGTATTAAAAAAAGCCAAAGAGCGGTTCCAAAATATACGAAAAGTTCTAATCTGTTGTTTTTATAAATAAACTGGGAGATTTCTAGAGCAAATGTTGAGTGTGCCCAATGATAATTATAGAATTAATCTACAAAGCCTTCGCTTGGTTTTCTTTATTTTTCCCCCACACAATTTTCCCATTTTCCCCCACCCTGATTCATTTCCTTTGGCGGCCTTATCTTATCGGCTCAGACACTCGCTGTTTGTTATTATTTGTGTGTTTTTGTGGCTCTCACCCGATGACTGCTCCCAATGCGTAGCAGGTATTTTTAACCATTTTATTTGAACGTTGTTTTTGCATTTGGGCCACGTTGCTGTTGAACACGTTAATAACGCCAGCGAATTTTAACAGCTGAAATCACGTCGTCAGCGGCGGTTTACTTCCGCGATTGTCACTTGCCGGAGCACTTCGCCCCGTCTCTTTCTCCCCCTGACGACCCCTCTCTTTCCTTTTTATAGAGATTCTGCCCCCAGCAACGCCTCCAAACGAACGCACTTTGCTTATTGAAATTATTATTATGCTGATCGGATGGGAACAAAGAGCCATTCCGCTGGCTTTGTTTTCTGCTCCGCGCTTTTCGGCTTCCTTCTGCAACAACCGCTGCTGTTGACAATCATCCTTGAAAGCGTTCAATCACTCCGATTGGGAAGGCTCGACCCTCTGCACAGGGAAAAATTAACCCTTAGGTCGATGATACACATACTCACTCATCACTTAACTGAGTTTTAGTTAAAAAATCTATAAAATATGTGCAAAGATATAATGTAAATGAATTAGGATTTGGTTTGTTGATGAAACGATGGCATAAACTACATTAAAAATGAGTGCTATGTGTTCTTTTTGAGCTTAGAAAACTACATCCCAAAAGTTCCAATGATTTTCAGACTGTAACACTTATACTATAGTTTTTTGATTAGTGCATTACGGGCTGAATATAAATAAAATCATATACACTAACTTTAAAAAATTCTTTAAAGTATGTGCAAAGATATAATGTAAACGGTATAGAATTTTCTTGTATTATCAATACTTAAACCAAAACGATTATTGAAATGAAAGCGATGTATTCTTTTCGCGCTTAGAAAACTGCATCCCAAAAGTTCCAATGATTTTCCCACTCTGACACTTATAAGGTCATTTTTATAGCACTCCTATAGTTGTATGATCACTGCGTCACGAGCGGGGTATAAATAAAATCAAACTTTGAAAAAATCTTTAAAATATGTGCAATGATATAATGTTAACGATATAGAATTTTCTTTTAATATTGATACTATAACCAAAACTATAATTGAAATGAAAGCTATGTCTTCCTTTCGAGCTTAACAAACTGCATCCCAAAAGTTCCAATGATTTTCCAACTGTATCTTTCATAAGATAACTTTTATAGCACTTCCTTACTTTTTTGATCAGTGCATCACAAGCTGGATATTCCTGTTCGAGTTCAGTTATTGTTGGTCTCGTCAAACTTCCTGACTGCCGGGGCTCGACCCTGGAAATGTGTCATTCAAGGGGTGTGAGTTTTTTGGGTTGCGAGTTGAAGTGTGTGTGCTGTCCCCTGCAAATGGAATAAATAAATAAAATATAGAATACAGAATATACACCTATGTACATGTGTGCCCCGAAATAGCTTTTGTGTATGGGCTGCTGCACTCAATGCTCCAAATGCGATTGGGGGAGAGGCTGCGAGGCAAAGGCAACCTGCTTGGCGGTGCGACGTGCAACATGTTCTAGCCTTCGCCCCATAGAACTGGTTTTTCTTGCTCGCCGTTGTTTATGTTTGTTCCAAAAATAAGAAAACCCCCTTTGCCATCGCCTATGCCCCAGCGACTCCCCTGCTCACGGAAAAAAAAAAAAAATAAAAATAAAAACACCTCACCGAAGAGTTGGACGCCGTACACGAAGTTGAAGTGCCACTTAAAGTTGAGTACACACAACAAAATATTTCTTCGTTCTTCTTGGCTTCTTTTTCTTTTCCATTTTCGTTTCCCTCTTTGAGTTTGTGTTTCCCCACTTTGTTTCGTCTTCGCAGCTCTACGTGATATGGGGCCAGATCGAATGATTGATGGGGTTGAGGGTGGTTAGGGGGAACTAGACCAACTCCGAAGATCGCCAGATAACTATGAAACTTTTTAGAAACTTTATAGAAACCCGTTAGCAAAGCAGGTAAAGAGTCAAAGAAGTGGGTGAGAACTATATACCAAAAGATTATGACTTAAATAAAACCAAGTATTCTATAACTATCCGTATAACTATTATAACTAACTGACCAGTTACCGCATATTTCAACTATATCATAACTGTCGTTATGAAATGCCAATAAATTAACGTAACCCCATTATTTATATAACTTTTCCAGCCCCTTGCCAGTTTGACTTCTCCATAACTTACATGAACATGTCTAAATGCATTTAAGGTAACAGTCCGGTTTGAGTGTATTCAAATGGATTGTTTTTAATAGCATGCTTGTAAACTCTAACCCTTAAGCCAGTTTTTTATCAAGAACGGATCTTAGGTTCAATGACTAATTCATACTGAAACAGGTTTCAATTAAATTAACTACTGCTCACCTTAGGAAAGCTAGGGTTCAGTGCTCTTGAAATGGATTCTGGCTTTTAAGAAACACATGTGTATAATATTATATCACCTCTTAAAAGGTAAAAATAAATCATGATTAGTAACTTAACCCAATGCTTGTGCAATTTAAAAGTTACATGTAAGCAATTACCAATGAATAGTGGATTGCTCTTGACTATCTATATTACCCAATCGTTTTATAAAAATTGGTCATTATTGATTAACCTTGTAACGATAAGCAATTAACGGAAACTGAATAATTATTCTTACTCAAGTCTCATTAATTTCGTAGTAGTATTGCTCTTATGGTGCTTTTAATTACATGCAAAACATAGCCCGAAAGTCCAATCGAATTGAAGAAAACGTTTTCTCAAAGAAACACTCCAATCAGGCAGCGTTTCTCGAGCGTTTTCAAAACATTTGCCAAGGCACAACATTTGAGATAATTCGATGTACACTTTGTTGTTGGTTTTCCCCTGTTCGCTCTTCGTTTGGTTTTTGGCTTTATGCTAAAACCGAAAAAGTGAATTTTTTAGTTGGTCAACAGCTGTTTCTCT